TTTTTCCAATCTGCCCGTCCCCTCTGCAGAAGGTGCGCTCCAGATGTCACCTGCATCGATCTCATTTCTCACTGGGTATTTCTGTTTCTAAATCACAGTGACTCTTGCTGCTGTGGCGGCGGTGGTGGCTTTGATGTCAGCTCCATGCCTCCTGAACTTCACTCCACTGAAATCTGGTTGGGTATGAGACAGACTCCGGTGGAATGAAGGACAAGAGAAGCACATGGATTTTCTGGGGATCTTTTTCTCAGAGGGTGGGGTCACGTGTCAACCCCGGCCTCTGCACACAGGGTTACTGCCCGGCCAAAAAGTCTTCAGGATCCCTGAATCAGACTTGGGAGATGTCTAGGACCTGAATGCTTGTACCCCTTCCCAAGGATCCCACCCCCCAGGGAGGCTGTGGAGAGCTAGCTCACAAGACACCCTCGTGTCTGCCGCACAGATAAGTGCTAAGTGGTGGAGATGGGGCTGCAAGGCTGGGGACACTGGGCTGTTTCTCACCCTCGAAACAGCCATCCAAGACAAGTCCATGTGGAACCTCCTTTGCTCTACCTAGCTGGGATGTGGTTGCCCTTTCCCTTTGGGTGTTCCGCTGTGAGGGCCATAACTGGGCTCAGTGTGGTTGGTCCTGTCTACAGAAGGCAGGTGTTCTGCAGTTGCTTTAGGAAAATCCAGCTACTCTGAACTTGTTTCACAAGGTGGTGGGATGCAGGGGTGGGAGTGTTCCTCTCCAAAAGCCACTACCCAAAAGGCATGAACAGCACTTTGCAGGCTGGTTTGCCAGTATGAAATCAACAAGAGGTGGGTGAGGAGCTCAGGAGAACTCCTGGCTGGAGCCAGGCCCATTCATAAAGGCAGGGTGGACGGTGGAGGGTGAGATACCTTGTTCTCACTCCTATAGATTTGTCTGGGAAGGCCAGCCTCCAGTGACCCCACATCTGTTTCCAAATCTGGCTGGATATAGTGCAACTACTTCTTCATTGGGCATGGGGACAGGTGACAGAGAGAGAAAGGAGAAGACACTTTCAGAGACTGAGCTAGACAGGGAGGATGCAAACTACCTCAGAGCTTTCTGTCTTCTCTGGATAGAAATGCTCCTCACCTGGTTGCTGTGTAGTTGCTGCTTTGGCCTCTTCCTTGTTGTGTTCAGACACGTCCGTGGCTCAGTGTAAGCCCCATAAAAGGCTGTCCTCAGCACCAACATGCAGACTGGGTGGGTGAGGGCAGATCTACCTTGTTTGGAATACTTTCTTCCTGGGGCTTGTTCTGACCCGATGCAGGGAGGCAGAATCTCACCATGTGGCTCCTCCTCCCGCATGCAGGCCCCGGGCATTCTCCTCTGAACAGGGTGTGGGGTTTCTAGCTGTTGCAGAGGAAGAGTCCCACTTCCCTTGGTCTGAATGTTACGAATCTTTGTCAGAGTGAACACGCGGCTTGCTGGGAGGCAGGGTCTGGGTATGAAGGGGAAGGAGAGGGGTTCACCCTCTCCCACTCAGCCTTCTTTATGAATACATGCAATTTTTAATAATGAAAGAGAGATGTGCCCTACTTGCAAATGGTCTAGACCATATTATCCGCCTGTGCTGCCTTTGACCCATTTCTCAGTTAAAAGGAAGAAAGAGACCAGACTATTGTCTCTGTTAAGTAAATGACGGCAGGAGATGGTGGGAGGAAATAGTTCTGGGATGGCAGGATTCTTTGCCCTCTCTTTGGATTTCAGCTCAACACTGAGAGCAAAGAGCCAATTCCTCTCCCTTCAGATCCTCTTTACCACACTCTTACCCTCCTCCCAACATGTACGGTCCACCAGATTGGTCAAGTCCTTGATCTGGAGTGTGCAGAGAGCCTCACTCTCATATGGGGTCCTTACCCTCCAGGGTGGATACTCGAGAGATGACAATGTCTGTAAAAGGCTTTGTTAGCTGTGAACGGCCATGCAGAAGGGAGGCAGCACTGACATTAGAGAGCTCAGAAAAGGCAGGCCCGTCCCTTATCATTCTCCCCTTGCTCTGCAGATCTGCAGCTGCTGCAAGGCAGAGACAAAAAGAGATAAATAAATATAAATAAATAAATAAATAAATAAATAAATAAATAAATAAACTAGCTAGAACCTTATCAGGAGACTTGACCTACTCTGGACCCCACAAGCAGAGTCCAAAATTCTTTTGCCCACCATGCCTTCACCAGCTTAATCCCCCAATGCCCTCACCTTGGCCATTCACAGTGTCGGGTTTTGTTAGGAAACAAGCCATACCTGTGTTTGGCTACAGAGTAAGTCCATCCGGTGACTGCTCTTCTGCCCCTTAACTGCCCTCAGGCCTCTGCCCCAAATATCTTCCTAATAAAACCAACTTGAACACTAATAGAACCACAGAATGGAACTTGTTTCTAAATTTCCCATTATAGCTGCACCCTGCACGCCAGGACTGAAAATCCAGCAACCCCCGGTTCCTCTGGTTGAGGAAATCTCCACCAAACCAGACAGAGCTGCAGTTGGGATACTTAACAGCTCAGCACCCACCTTATAAAACCAGTTCCCATTATCAGCAAGATTTACTGCCTGGGATCCCTGAAAATCCCCAAGAAAACACAGAAGTGGCTGGGAATTTGGTTAAAATGCGGCCGGTTCAGCTATTTTAGCCTTGGAGAAAGTTGATGATTGACTTCCAGTGAACTCAGCTTTTTCTACTCTTCTCCTCCTGCCCAGTGGGCCTCCAGATCTAGCCACTCGGCTTTGGTTTTCCAAAAGCCCCCCACCCCCCAATCCAGAAATTTCAGACTCACCTGAAAGTATCTGTATCTTCAGATATCAGGGCCCAGCTTTGAGTTTGATTCAAGATAACAAATAGTTTTTTTTTTTTTTTTTTTTTTTTTTTTGTCCTAAGATAATGCAGAACAAAGAGATGGCTACAGAGTCATGCTTTACAGAGGAGGAAAAGGAATTTCAAGTCTTGGGAGGTTCCTTTGCCCCTAAGGCTTGAGAACAGGGAAGAAGAAGGGAGAAGCACTTACTGTATGGAGTGCCCAGTTCAGCAGGCCTGTGCAGAGCAGAAATGGCTCCTGAGAAAAGGCGGGGGCCAGTCCTTAATAGTCGATGTCTCATTTTAACAAAAGGGATATGAAAGCAGAGAAGGTGGGATTGGAAGACAGGAGAGTAAAGGCAGCTGGAAAGGAGAGAGTTTGGAGTGCAATTGGGGATTCGGTTGAGTTTTTAGAATAGAGGTTGGTAACAGACAATAAAAGAGAGAGAAACAGGTTTTTCCAAGGCAAAGGTGAAGAAGAGGGACTCAGCCCATTTCAAGGAGGAGGTGCTAGTTTCGCTCTTTATTTATGCACCTCTCAGCAAGCTTCGGGTTACCTGCTGGGCCCAACCAATGGGGGCCGGGCCTGGCTGCTGGCTCCGCCTCTCAGAACCCACACCCTTGGGGGGCCATGGATGGGAGACCTTTCTCCACCTAATCTTCCTTTCTTATTGTTCTGTAAACACCAGAAAAGAGAGATTAGGTCTCTGTCATTGCAGAGATGGAGAGATGCTGCAGGTTATCTGCACCGTGTACCTGAAGACCTCCCAGAAACCTGAGCAAGGGGGCAGGGGAAAGGCTCAGATCTTATCTCTGCTCAAGGAGGCTGTGTGTGAACGTGCATGCTGATGTGTGCGTGCGTGCATGTGTGCAGGCAGCGGGAATCAACGTCCTCTGAGTTCCTAGCTCTACTCAATGCACTTCAGGAATCCAGCAGAGACTGACCAGCCCATCCAGGTAGAGCGGCAAAAAGAGGCCAGAGGGTCAGAGTGGAGGCCCAGCCAGTGGCTTATCCTGGCATTCAGTACAGAGTGAGAAGCAAGTTGTTTTTATAATCCAAGAGGCTTTGTGACCTGCTGCTCTTTCATTCCTGGAGGTGGGGAAAAGACAACTCTGTGTGCAAGGAAGTGGGGAAGAGACCATCGGAACTGGGGAAGGAAGCAGCACGCTCCTTAGGAGCGTTACGGAGGGGTCTGTAAACTCTCCACTGTTTTCCATGCCTCCCCTCCACTTTGGCTTATCCCCTTGCCTCCTCGCCCTTCTCTGCTCCCCTCTCCCCAGTTCTCCCCCTCAGTGCACACTTGGAGGACAAGGCAGGATGAAGTCTCCTCCAACGTGGTGGCTCTGCCCAGGGTCCTAGCCTGCCTCGCTTTCATTCTCAAGTAACCCGCTGGTGTGCCACAAAAGCAGATCCCCCAATTCTTCAGGGAAGGAGAGGAACAAAAGAGTCCCGTCTCTAGGTCATCTTGGTGCAGTCCTGTCTCACAGCCCTTCACAGAACCTGCCTCTCTCCTTAGACAAAACCAGCTAATGTAAACCTTTTACCAAATAGAGGGGGAAACCGAGGTTTCGAGAGGTGAATTTCTGTCCTGAGTTCACACAGCTAGGGTAGGGTCAAGATTCTCCTCTACCTGGGTCTACTGACTGCCCTTGGAGGGCTCTTTGTAACAAACACTCCAGGCTGCCTTCCCTGGTGCCGGCGGGCCTGGCACTTGTCTGGACTCTTCCACACTGTCATGGAAAAAGAAAAGTCTCCACTGGGGAAGGGGAAAGACCAATAAAGTACATTCCTTAGGATGAGGGCAGGGAGATGTTCCATGGCATCGCTTCCTGAACACAGGGATTCCTCCCCCGAGGGTGAGGGCACATGCCTCTCCTGCCAGCAGGACCCCGTCTGCCCTAGTTCAGCCTCAGCTCTTCCATTTCCCAGTGAGTCACGTAGAGAGAGAAGAGTCGAGTCCCCGCCGAGCTGATGCCCACACGTGTGTGCTGGAGACTCTGCCCCTTCCCTCCGTCCCTTCTCCCTGTCCCCCTTCCTTCCTGTGTTTCATTCATTCACTCGCTGCCTCACTCCTTGAGCTGCGTCCCAGGTGAGTGAGAGACTCTGTTCCCCCTTTAAAAACTCCGAACCTAGACATCCAGCTACATGAACAGACACGACACTAGGCCAGTGAGAACAGCACTGTGAATACCTCCCAAAGGGAACTGTCACATTTTGTCTGAGATTCAGCGAGGGTTCCACAGAGGAGGTGACGCCTGCACTGAGTCTGAAAAGATGAGAGAAGGCGGGAGGGTGGTCAGGACCCGGCGTGAGTTAAATCCTCGAGGAAGGTGCCCTCACGCGGGCTTAGAGTGGCCTGGGTGGGGGTGAGTGGACGCGGCGGGTGCTGCCATCTCCTGCCAGGCCGGTGCGTGTTTTCTGTGGGTGGTGGAGTGTCCCCGAGTCTTGAGGCAGGGAATGAGGGGACTGGAACTGTTTTTCAGAGCCAGCCTCGGACTAGGGGCAGAGTGACTAACTGCTGGAGAATATGGGGGACCAGGAGGGTAAGGAGGAGAAACAAGGGCAGGAAATAAGCATAAGTCCTACTGGTCATATTCTGTCCCCTCCAGGGGTCATCTTTGACCTCAATGTTTGTTCAGAAAAATGCAGTCAATCTATACCCAGCCAACACGGCAGAGAAAGACCGCCTGCCCTAAATTATTATTAGTTTTCTTCCCCTCACTCCATTCACTACAGGCCAGGCAGGAGGATGCTCTGTGGGCTGGTGGGACATCGGTCGGTAGGGAGGGTCCAGAGGGGTGGGCAGCGCATCAGGGTGGCTCCTGCTCCCCTCAGTCTGGCTCTTCTTTTCAAAGTCAGCTTGAGAGGAAAAAGCTCCTGATGTCCTCCCTTCTTCTAGGTTTCTTATTCCAAGTCTCTAACAGGCGCTCCCCAGACGGCTTCGGGGTGACGCTGTGCCTGAGTGTGCTTGGGTGGGGGAGGGGCAGGTGGCAGCAGCAAGTGCGGGGCTCCCTCCCGTCTCCACTGAAGAGCACCTGTTCTAGCAGTGATTCACTCACTTCTCTCTTTTTTTTTTTTTTTTCAAAA